TTCTATGTTAGATGATAGAATTGTGTTAATGGTTTTTAAAGGTTGAAGATAAAAACTGAAAGATTAGCATATGGGTTACATTGTTGAATGTCAAAAGATAAAGGTTCGTGGTTTTGTTTGAAAAAAAATATTATTATTGTTAAAACAACAACAACAGGTTTATTATTGTCGCTGTAAAAGCATATCAACAAAAGTTTTTATGGACTTTAAATTTTTGCAACAGCAAAAAAATGTTTTTCTTGGTTTTGTAACAACAAAATATTTTTTGGTTTTGGATATTAGAATAGCAAAATATTTTTTGGTTTTTGTAACAGCAAATGCTTTAAAAATTTTGTAACAGCAAATATTTTTTTTGGATATTGTAACAATAAATGGGTTTTTTTGGATATTAGAACAACAAAATATTTTTTGGATATTGTAACAACAAAATATTTTTTGGATATTTGTAACAGCAAGTGTTTTAAAATTTGGGACAGCAAATGATTTGTGGACTTTGAGATTTTGTAAAGCAAAAAGGATAACCAAGTTTTTGGACAGCAAAAAATATTTTGGACAGCAAAATAATATTTTGGACAGCAAAGGTGTTTTGTACAGCAAATTCTAAACAAATTTTTTTGGGACAGCAAAGTGTTAAATCGGTATTACGCGACGGAAGAAGTAAGCTTTTTATTACACTTGTTATTATTATCGATATTATGAATACTAACATGTTTAAATGCTAACAATCATGCAGCAACTCAACTCAAATACAGTACAACAAAAAAAGAATGATAAGGAAAATATTACATGGCAAAGAAAAAATGGTACAGCAAGTGATTCAAGCATGAACATATGCAACAGTAGATAGAGAGGAGAAAAGAATAATACCTATCGGAGTCTCTCCGATGGGGCTTCTAACAAAATGGTAAGCTTCCTTGAGTTTGCTATCTTTTCTCCTTGCTGGATTTTTCTTAGAACAACACTAATTTTCTGTTTTCACTCTTGCTGAAACTTTAGAACAACACTCTATTTTTCTGGTTTTTTCTTACTTGTTGAATTTTTTCTCCTTTTTTTTGTGTTGACAAAGGCTCTTATTTATAGTGGAGTATGTGGGATTTGAGGGGGGAAAACAGTAGAAATTTGAACTGTTTTGGCAAGTTGTTTCTATGCTTTGTTCTCACAAATTACTTTAGCCATTTTGATACAAATTGCTGCCACTTTGATGCAGGTTGGAGAAGGTTTTGGCAGCACTTCACTACGCCAAATAAGCTATTTAATAGCGCTTTTTTTTGTTTTTGATAGCGCTTAAAAGTGCTATTAACCGCGCCACTATTGTAAATATTTCTTATTTAATAGCACTTTAAAAGCGCTATTAAAGTACCAATTTATAATAGCGTTTTAATTAAAGTGCTATCAAAGTCAGTATTTTGCATGTTTTTTGTTTGTTTTTTTATAGCACTCTAAACAAAAAGCGCTAATATATAACATATATTTGATAGCGCTTTCAAATAAAGTGCTAATAAATGGTACATATTTGGTACAATATTTTCAACCGTGCCGCTAATTGCAAGATTTCCAACCACAGTGATTTCCGCAACAACTTTCTTACCAATATCAATGTAATGAATGTAGCATTTTAATCAAGTCTTAATAAATGAAGCTGCTTATTCAACCTCAAAACCTTTTATACTTAACTAACAGAAAAATCTGGGTTTCCCCTATTAAATAATACTACACTTGTTGAATGAGGCGTGGTAAAACAACAATAGAGCCTATTTTATATATGAGATACTATTCATCCCTATTTACATGATATGATATGATATATCTATATAATGAATACAAAGTTTAGAAATGGTCATGAAATAAAATCATATTTTGTATATAAGAGATACTATCCCTAGTTACATGATATGTTATATCTATACAAAGAATATAAAGATTATAAAAGATCATGAAATGAAATCATATTTTGTATAAGAGATACTATCCCTAGTTACATGATATGTTATATCTATACAAAGAACACAAAGAATATAAAATGGTCATGAAATCATAATAAAATCAGGATTCAGGCGCACTTCGAAGCAAATGGTTGTTGAGACTAACAAAGCAAGCTTCATGCTAAGCTTGCTCTTTGGAAGCTAACAAGTGGCTACCAATAGCATCATTGTTTAAATACAGATAAGTTTTTTTGCCAGAAGATGTAGTAGTAGGTACGTTAGAAAAACCAGTGTAGTTGTCATTCAACTTCGATAAGCATATTTTCGCAATAAAATCAAAGAGCTCGTTTTCTTGCACAAAAGGTTGGGCTGCATAGTCTTCAACAGGCATCCACTGAATAGAAAAACAAACTATGTTGGAATATGGTCACCACCAGTCAAAAAACATCCTACAACTTTATAAAGATACCTTAGTTGCTTCAATTTCTGAGGCCTGACTTTGAATGTCAAAGGATTGAGGTTGCAACATGCAAACAAAGAACAAGTCTGATTTCTGAAAAAAAGATTTATGGCTTTGCCTGATACCAAAGAGACAGGAAGAAAAACATAAAGGTCAGTAGCAGGCCAGATATTGAAGACAGAAAATTTGTGAACTATATGCATGCATTCTAATGATTCTTGTGTAAAAGATATAGTTGTGCCAACATTCAGACTGCATGCTAGTTGACGAGGTTGGTGTGTGTAAGTCACTCTTACCTGAAAGCTAAAACTTCAACAAACTCTGTCTCTACCTACATGAAGAACAAAAGTAATGGCATTAAGACTTCGAAATGAATAGTCCATTTTTTGTTTTAATATACAATGGTGTAATATAAATTTTGAAGAATGTTTAGTTAAATATATTAATAACAGACGGTGACAAGAAAAAAATGAAATAGAACAATTTAATCTGTACTATATTTTGTGTTTGCTTACCCCTGTCTCTTCCTTCACTTCTCTAATTACAGCATCACAAATATCCTCGCCCTGCAAATATGATAAAAATGAATCAAAAGAACATATTATAAGTTTCATAATTTGATGAATAATCATGTTGATATATACTTCATTAACAGCTCCAGTAGGCATCTTCCATACACCTGTGCCTCCAAATCTACCACTGGTTTCCTGAACCACAAGCACCTATCAAACAAAACGAGACTGTTTAAAGTATAATATAACAGAATGATTGATGAGAAAGAGAAATGAAAGAGGAAGAAGATTACCTCTCTTTTGTTATTGACGACAAAAGCACCAACGCCGAGACGGTGTGAAGCATTTGCAGGAATGCTATCAGGGGTATGAGGGATCCAATATACAAGCATCAAGTAATCTGACTCAGCATGATGGTACCTAAATCCAGCCTGCAATGCAATAAAAAATTCAGATAATACTAATATTGGGTATTCAATTACCAAAATCTTATTGGTCCTAAATCATTCAATTTGCCTCAGTCATCATAAATAGAGTGATCACTCTAATTCTACACAAACAAATCACCTTACCGATTCCTTTATGACAAAATTCCAGACATAAACTCATTAAAAATATTTGGCACACTATGTTATGCTTCTATCCTTGTGCACAGAACCAAACTTGATCCAAAAGTTTAAAAAAATATATATTTCTTAAGATATACATATCTGGCCAGAAATGCAATGTCCTTCTTGACATTGCCTCAAAAGAAATATTTGTATCAAGACATGTTTCCTTCCATGAACATATACTTGCTTATCAAAAAACTTAACCATCGCCATACACTTTCTGGCACACTATTTCCCATTTGCACTTACAAATTTCAGCACAGACAATCTTACCACAACTCCTGATCCAATCATTTCAGCCCAAACAATTCCTTCAAATACTTATAAAAGCCATTGGCAATCATGACACTTCTTCCATACCTAACAGAACATCTTCAAGATTGAGAAATCATCATTCCTATCTCAGACTATAACGGCAATTCCACACACCAATCATCCAAGCCACACACAGCTTGAACTTGATGCACTTGAGAAACTGGAACATGAAAATTTGTAGATTTACCTCTAAATGTTAAGGCAACTGGATATACTAAATCAAACATCTAGCTTATGGTTCAATTGACTAAATTTACAACTAAATTGGTTGACTGAGACTCGTCCCATGAATTTGAATATTATTGGAGTTCAGCATGTACCAAAATTTTAATGAACATTAACCACTGTTATAAATAAAACTAAACTTTAGCTCATTGTATAACCAACCATAAAATAGACCAAATATCAATCCAAAAATTTGAATCACTATACTAAGTAATAATATTCTATATAAAAAAAAAACAACCAAATTTCCAATAGCCTTCTGTCAAGATTATGGTAAATCTAATTTACATTTTGTTCATGCAAAGAAGCCACAAAAGTTATGCAATTAATTTCTTACTTTATGCAGCCAAGACTTTCTTCAATCCCGATTTCTGATCTGCATTGAGCCGAGGTGGGAATTTGATGTTGAACTTTATCCTCAAGTTTCCCTTCTTTGTTGGATCCTTTGGCAGTGGCATTCCTTCTCTTGGAACAACTTCCTCATACTCAGGATGAACGACATTGTTGACGATTATAGTCAAGTTTCTACCATCAAGTGTCGTGAGATTCACTGTGCAGCCGGATAATGCTTCTGCAAGAGAGATCTTCTGAGTGGCTACCAGATCATTTCCTTCACGAGTGAAGACGCTGTGTGGTTTTTCATCGATGACGAACACAATATCAGCAGGTACGAACACAGAGAATCAACGCTGGGTGATGAAACTGAATATTCAACACTGTGTTGAATATTGTTACTTTTGTTTTGGGATTGACCAGGAATCTAAAAAGTTGTATTAATTAATATTAGTGATCAAATAATAAAACAAGTAGCGATCAAGCAACTTGATTATAAGTAATTTACCTTTTCACATTCAGCAACAAATTCAAGAAGTTTCGTTGGCCATGGCACAATTATTCCTATTGCTTGGCCATGGATACATCTCCATCTTCAACAGATATAGGCAATGGGGCCTTATCATCGACGCGGTTGGTTGCACATCTGGCATGCAGTGGCAGATCTGACATTCGCATAGGTACATTGCTCACAAGACCAATGATTATCATCAGTAATTCTGCTGGACATGCTAGCTCGAACCGTCCCCTTTCCTCTTCCGCCTCTTCCCTTGCTGCTCCCTGCAGCATTTTTTGAACCCGTTGCTTTACTGGAAGCAGCTCCATTGCTATCCACATCGCATAAACCATTCTCTAATTCCCTAACCAAATTCTCAAAGTAGTTTCTAGTCACACTGCAAAAACAAATGAATTAGAAAATTAAACCATACAATTTGGGCACCATAATTATTCATTAGCTATGTCATTATTATACTATTCATTGGTATATAACTGCATGCTGAAACAAATTGTCACACCAACAGAACCAATAGATGGTAAACATTCTAAAACATGAATAGAAAAGCAAACAAAACAACATGCCAAACATATGAATTTCATCAAATGCACGATAGGTATGAATCATGATGTACAAAATGCATATATTTCCATTACAAGATTCCATCTCGAGATGTAATAGCAGATTTACCATTTCTAATTCAAAACAAATGTACAAAGTATGTCTCTTTTCAGCAAACTTGAGGAAAATGTATCAAATATGAAGTCAAACTCCAATCAGAACAAAAAAAGTAAATAAAAAAATGGGAAAATTCTGAACAAAAACAATAATAAGTAATAACATTAACCTGGTCAATCCAGCTAGCTTTGTGCGAAAATCATTGAAATCTTTAGATGGGCCATCACCATTGAGGAATACTTGGAGTTCCTTTTCGGCACATTGATGAAGTCTCTCTAAACCTGATTCAGCCTCACCTGAAGATAAAGAAATTGAATAGTTTATTTCAAGGAAATCACCCAAAATGCAAGACATCTAATCAAATTGAAATTGACAACAAAAAAACCTTGCAAGTACTCAAAGAACTGCTTTTTCGCATGCTCATGCTCCGCTAAATAGAATCCATATGCATATGTCCACTTTAATACCCGCCTGCACTCAACTATCTGCAGAGGTGATACAGAATTTAGAGAGATATTAGACGTCTATTTTACAACAGTCAAAGACATTTCACATCACCCAGCTTCAGAAAATAGTTTAATGAAAAACTTCATTTGTGTCCTTGGGAGAGGGTTATGAAAATATGACTACACAACAGTCTAAGAAATGTGTAAGGCAAATTTATCACCCAGGTCATCAAACAGGGATTTGAGACATGCATCATAAAACTAATTTTTTAATTGTGATACACAAATCATACCAAATCATAAAGTCTGGAAAGGACAAGAAAAATAGCATGAAACATATTAAATAAATTATGCACTGTTGTATAAGCAAAATGTAAATATAATTTTAGGCCAGGGACCTTTAATAGCAGACTACCATAATTCACAGTTTCTATATTGTTGCATGATTCTGGGAATTTGTATTGTGATTCCAGCCACCACATCATAAGCTCTTTATTATTATTTACATTGCAATACATCCTGTATGAATCCCTGAATGACGCAACTTTTACGGCTATGATCAAAGGTATAATTAGTATATTCATTTACCTGTAACCAAGCCTCAGTTATGAACTTAAGCTGTGACTCAGGTTGGCACTGTGTATCACTAAGCTTCTCAATCTGCCAAAAAAAAACAATAAGCCAACACAGATTAAGCTCTAATTTATGTCTTAGATCTGAAAGCATCTAGAATAACAGATACCTCACAAAAATAATAAAAAGACTGAAAGAAACAAAGAAGTTAAAAATAAATAAATAAAAAAACAGATTAGCAGCTGTAAGCAATGATGGAAAGGTCAAGACTTAGTCTGAATATTTTAGAAAGTTTAGTTATATAACCAAAAAGGCGTCTAAGATTCAATTCTAAGTAATCGTATGACAAATGATTTAAAATTTATGTTACATTACTTATCACGAAGTAAGGAATTTAAATTGGCAAATTCATATTTGTTATTCCTGAAAGTTGTCAAACATTCTCAAAAAATCAAAAGTTGATTAGCACGGAAAATGTTCTTTAAGTTGCCAGAGTCACATACAAGACAACATGGAATTTTGGCTCATGGAAGGGTAAGATGGTCAAACACCGAAAATGAATGTGTAGCTTACATGAACAGTTTGCATCTGGTGTAGATCTGAGAGAGCTTTTTGCCTTGACTACAAGAGAAAGAAAATTAATCACATAGCCATACACCATAGGAATTCTAGCTAAATATAAAATAAACAATGAATTAAGAAATTGTAGAGCATGAGTTCAGATATAAAAGATACTAAACAGAAGGGAAAAAAAGTATGGAGTGATACATACAGATTGGTTGCTAGCCCACCGCTCATAATAATGAGTGTACCTCTCCAATGAATTCTTTGCCATCTCTCTTCTTTTTTCAGTTTCATCATACTACATACAACAAGATTTCTTTCAGAATCTTTATACTCTTATCAAAATTATACTAGGCCACCAATGAAACAGCCTAGCAATATTAGAGTGAGAAACTCCATTATCAAGCAACAATTTGACATTTTCAGGCAGCCCACTTTGACAAAGAAAACAAAAACGTTTAACACAAGCAATGGTTTTTTTGTCAGATTGAAGAAACCCTTTTGCACATTGATATGCAGGAACTATATGATTCTCTAAGCTTCTTCTAAGAAGTCTAGGGCTTGAATTAACAATACGAACAATATCAGAGGAAGAAGCGCCTTTGGAAAGTAAAAATTGAAACTTTGGTAAAAGAACCTTGTTGGGGTCGCATGAGAGTAGCCAGGGTTCACGTCTGATGATGTCGCGGAGTTGGGAGATGGAGAAGCCGTGGGTAGTGAAGAAGGCGAGAATTGAATCGGGTTTTTGGGAGTTGGAGAGAGTGAGATTTTGGAAAGCTTTGGAAGCGGTTTCTGGGGAGAAGCCGCAGTTGTTGATGAGGTAAGAGACGGTGAAAGATTGTGGGTTAGTGGTGGAAATGGAGAAGAATTTGAAAAGGGTTTTTGGTATAGGAGAAGGAGAAGAAGATGGTGTTGTGAGTAGGAGGAAAATGTTTTTGTTTTTGGCGGTGAGTGGATCTGAAAATGTGTTTTTTTTTTTTTTTTATCAATTAATTAATTAATTCATTATTATATATAACATAGCGCTTTTTAATAAATGCTATTATATAGGTAGTCAAATAATAGCGTTTTGGTACAAAGTGCTATCTTAAAGAAGTTTAATAATAGCGTTTTGGTACAAAGTGCTATCAAAATTACATAGTCTGTATTATATAATAGCGCCCGATTAAAAAGTGCTATTATAAATGTGTTTTTTCCATTTTAATAGCATTTTTTTTAAAAGTGCTATTAAATTAGGTGATACAAAAAATCATTTTTGGCGTAGTGCTTGGAGCTGTTGTATGTTGCTGTTTTTTTACTGTTTTGTAGCATTTTACAACATCTTTATTTGCTGTTTTTTTTATCAGGTTGTTTGGAGCATTATTGACCAATAAAAATGCAGCAAAAGTGGGCTTGAAGAAAGGTTGCAAACATGGGCTGCATTAGCAACTTTGCTGAAATTTTTTTATGTTGAAAAAAAGCATTTGTACACACTTGTAGCTTTTTACAACTTTGTAATAAACTCCAATAAATTATAACATAAATAAACATGCATTCTTCAATATATTTTCCATTCTTTGGGTAGTATGAATGATCTTGAATCTTCACATAAACATGAATCTTGATATATCTTGATAAAAATTCAAGATCTTCCATTTAAATTTGGGAAGTAATTGAATAATACTTGGATGAATTGTTGAATGATGAATAAATAATAATGCAAGTCTTGGACTTTAATCTTGCACTTTTGTAATAGAAATCCAAATAAATCACATGGATTAATTTGTAATCAAATAGAATTCCTCATGTAATTAAATAGAATTCCTCACTAACTTCTTGAAATAATGCTTCATGTATTTAAATAACCATGATGTAGATTCACCAAAATAATCACAAGAATAATCTTGAATAAATATTCCATGTGATAAATGAATATTCTTGAATGAAATCTCTTGAATAGCTCCTCTTTAATTATCACTTGGATTCAAATAAAGAAAAATCCAAATATTCCGAATATTCCGAATAAATTCTTTTAGAACAGTTTTGAATTTAATTATCCCATTTCAGCGAAATTCAACTCGCGTCGTGAGAAAATATGCAGATGACTTTTGGTTCAAGAAATCGAAAATGACGGTATAACTTGGTTTTTCTTGTATTTTAGAATAATGTGAAACACACATGAACCAAAGTCGGTAGAATTTTGACTCTTCTTCCTGAAAAATAATCGGTGAAAAACGGAGACCATTTGCTGGACAGAGTGTGGAAATAAACGCACAATTCTCTGAAATTCTTTGATGAACCAGTCTTTGGGAAATTAGCAAACGACGGCATTTCTGTCCTGAGACCCGAAATCCTGATCGACGTACAACATCTGACGCTCTTCTTTCAGACCTGTTTTCTGCACATGAAAATAAAACATCGAAACATACACTTCGTGCGTGATTAGTGGTTAGTCATTCATAAGATAAAATGCTCACAACACTCGGTAATCTCTACACAGTCAAAGCTCGAAACATTCGAAACCTACCGTATTCTGTGACCTTGATGTGTATAAAAAAATAATGCAGATGAAGCAGGAATCTTAGGTCAAAAATTAGGGTATGATAGCTGCCCCTATTTAAGTTTCTTCTATCCAGAGATATGAAGATTAAAATCTTCGTCTCGACGAGATTGAAGGTACTTAATTACATAATACGCAATTTTTGCCCTAAGATACTGCCATCATGTTTATGATATGAATGTAGTATTTAAATTTATGGAGAATGATACTGTATGAGACAAGATAATGCTGAGGGAACCAAACACCAACAAACCACAGGAACATAGATTATACACTACTGGGGAAACGAGTCATCGACTTCGAATGATAGACTCTTAACGGTGAATAAAATTTGAGAGAAAACGACCTATGATCCTAACAAAGAAGACATCTTGCATAGGCCACAAAAATAGATTATTGACCCAAAATAATGGTGAGTTCACAACTCAAGGTCAAAGATAGACAAAAGATGTATCCATTTTTGCTGATAACGAACTACCAGCTTTTGAAGGTAAAGATTCACAACAAACTTCTCTACGAGATTTCGAGAGAGATACCAATTAATGTCGAAATAATAATATGGTTGTAGATACACAAGCTGCTCAAATAAAGAAGACGCCACTTGTTGTCTTCCAAAAATACTATAACATACAAGCTGCTCAAATAAAGAAGCCACCACTTGTTGTCTTCCAAAAAATACTATAACATACAAGCTGCTCAAATAAAGAAGCCACCACTTGCTGTCTTCCAAAAAATACTATAACATACAAGCTGCTCAAATAAAGAAGCCACCACTTGATGTCTTCCAAAAAATACTATACATACAAGCTGCTCAAATAAAGAAGCCACCACTTGATGTCTTACAAAAATACTATAACATACAAGCTGCTCAAATAAAGAAGCCGCCACTTGTTGTATTCCAAAGATGTCTATAACATACAAGCTGCTCAAATAAAGAAGCCGACACTTGCTGTTTTCCAAAAGATATGATAACGCACAAGTTGCTCATGAAGAGACCGTCGCTTGCCGTTTTTTTCCAAAAATAATAACGCACAAGTTGCTCATGAAGAGACCGCCGCTTGTCGTTTTCCAAAAATAATAATAATGCACAAGTTGCTCATGAAGAGACCGCCGCTTCCCGTTTTCCAAAAATAATAATAATGCACAAGTTGCTCATGAAGAGATCGCCGCTTGCCGTTTTCGAAAAATATAATAATGCACAAGTTGCTCATGAAGAGACTGCCGCTTGTCGTTTTCCAAAAATAATAACGCACAAGTTGCTCATGAAGAGACCGCCGCTTGCGGTTTTCCAAAAATTAATAACGCACAAGTTGCTCATGAAGAGACCGCCGCTTGCCATTTTCCAAAAATAAGTTTCAGAAGAAAGTTGCGATAACACCGCCAGAGAATAAAATCTTCGTCAAAGGGAACCATGAATAGATCCTTCCTGAGGAAATCAAATACTTAAATGCGCAAAATAAATGCACCATTCATCTAGGTTGTTTAGCTTGGAGAAAACCACGAGATAGCCTATGCAAGAGACAAAAACTCCCTCCAGGAATAAACCAGAGAGAAGACAGTCAAACAAGACTCCACCCAATGAGAAAATAACTCAATTGGGGATTCATCCTATCCAGAAATGGACAAGGAAGGGTAAATCAAAAATTCATCCACGAGGATTAGCTCAGTTGGGGAATTTAGAAAGGAAGCACATTTTCTGCCTAAGTTAACATTCTACTTGAAAGAAACATGTACGTTGTTTGAATAAACAAAGTATACAACCCAAAATCAACGACAAATGTGAATATGCATGCGTGATATAAGTGTAAATGAGTAAATGAATGTTATGCTGACAAAACAAGCAGATGGAATATCTTAAAGATGATAAGATATCACGAAAGAATAGATACTCGGCCAATTTTAAAGAGACGGAAAATAATTGGAACTGGAATCAAAAAGCAACGTCAGAGTGTGTCTCGCTACAAGGTTCAGGTCTTCTGGGAGAAAAGTATTCAAATCCAATCTTCTAATCACCAATAGACCAATGACATGATATAAAGCGTACCACACTTCAGAAATTTGCTCAAATAAAGATAAATGAAATAAAGCTTAACCGGAAATGCTGGGGAGTCACCAAACTTAGTACCGCTAGAAACGCAAGTTACACAACCAACACCTCATGACGATTTTGAAAGAAAACATGTTCATCATGCAAGGATAAATTACTGTATTTTTTTGCATTTCATGGCTTAACCATCCTCGGAACAACTGTTAATATTCCTTTCAGTATTCAATGACATATTTTAAAAATAGGAATGCGTTAAATAACTTTGTTTCAAATATTGCCGTAAAAGGTGAAATTTTGCCCACAAAAGATAAATGCTCAAATTTCATTAATAAGATGGTAGTTCGCTAACAACGCGACTCCAACGGTTTACAAAAGTTTGGGAAATAGTACATGAAAGAAAAAGGTTACACAAAAATAATGATCACTATTCTCCCTAACAACTTCGAATTCCGAAATGTGCTCAAATGCCAAGACTGGTCTGACCAAAAGCTTGCCTAAGCCGCCCCTTTGGGTTTTCAACTTAGCAAACCGTCAACTCAAACCTAGGAGAAATACTTCTTGACTGCATCGGCATTCATGGAGCACGGGAGCTCTTCACCGTCCATATTTGTGAGAATCATGGCACCTCCAGAGAAAACTTTCTTAACGACATACGGTCCTTCAGAATTCGGAGCCCACTTGCCCC